AATAATAATAATAATAGTAACGGTAGTAATGGTAGTCATGATGATACGAATAATAATAACAATACTAATGATATGATAACAATTTCAAAATTTCAGACAGCGCAATTACTAGGTATAATAAGTCCATACGAGCACATGATAAGTGATGCTAATATAAATGATAAAGGAGCAGTTCAACCAATGCATCTGAGGATTGAATCAATTGCCGACAAATATCCTCTCGATCAATCACCAAGGCAATTCACTGAAGTGCTCTCGCCAAACCCTACTTTCAAGGTTCATTGAATCGGTCATCGTTATTCTTAATCATTGTTATTGTCATCGATAATATGATTGTTGTGGTTACTGTCACTGGAAACAATTCACAAGTTTCCGTACGAAGCTTAATGAAATAATGACAGCTCATTAGAACTTTACCAATCGCAGTTAAATTTTGACCATCTCCGGTTTTTTGATAATTACCGACTTTCGGAATTGCAAAAACGGACTCCGATCAAAAATTTCAAATTCGTTCAGTCTAACTGAATTTCGAAATCACAAAAAAAATCATGGATCCTATCAAACTGCGACTAAATTCACAATTTTTCGCTCGAATAACCTTCGAATGACTGCTGACAAATGTTCCAAATTCCAATTCATTGAATATCTCCTTGAGATATTTGATCACATTGCGATCGCAATGATTGACTAATGAAGACGTGACGAATTGACAGGATGATGACTCTGATCTGATACAACCGCCATACACCGCCGATAATAATGATAACAGCAATCACATTCTGATGAAGAGAGAAATTTCGTGGAACATTGATAAATCAACGGAGGCAACACCTCGTGACACTGATAGCACTAATGATGAGGATGCTTCCAGCTCCACTCGAACAACACCCCGAACAACAAGAAAAGCAACAACTGAGTCAAGCAAATCCTCATCAAATGTCTTGAAATGTAACAGTGAAGAACTTAAAAAACTCATGATGGAGGTATAGTGTTATCATAGATTCCAATTGATTACTTCTAATGATACAGTACGTATTGCGTACTTCTTTCAATTCACAATACCGATTTTATTGAGTGTTTTGCAGAATATCAGTGAAACATCATCACTATCAAAACGACGGATCAATCAAAAAGCTGAATCGATGTTCGGTGGTAACGTTGATGTGATATGCTCAAAAGGCCATTTCTCCTATGTCTATTCATCGGATCTGTATTGTGAAGCCACTAACGAGGGTATCACTTGTATTGCCTTCAGACAATCGTCCAACAACTAATCCACTCAACAATTCAACTTCAACTGCTTAATCGCCCAGTCGTTACGAAGACACATTGTGTGCATATGGACATATGTCTATTTTAGTTTGACTTTTCTGAATCATTCATAATTTATGACTGTTACCGATGTTAAAGCATATCGCACAGCGATATCCTCTAT